CAGTCCAACACCACAGGATTCAGTCCACCCTTCCCTCTTTCCTTATTTGTAATTTGTTCTTCCAACAGGGAGAAACTTGACTCTCATTATCCACATATGTTTACTTATTTGTTCAATTCTAGAATAAAGTAGTTTCACAGTTGCTAATTTATACCCCTATGAAAAACAAATGTCCTAACTAGAGTGCAATATTTGTATAGTCATTTTTGTCTTTAGTCTTATGGTATACAGTCAAAATACTGTTTTCCGAAGTTACTTTAGTGCATTTCTTCTCCATCCACTTCATTGTGGTTACGTTAATCATTTACAATACAGTTCAGTTTGTTGTCCCTGCTCGTATTCTATTATGGTTTCCCATCGCACCCTGGTTGTACGTATGCATGTATGTAGGTAGGTATGTAAAACATTACCACGGTTCTAAGAGTCAGAGCTATACAAAAAAAGTATAATCAAAGAAATGTCTCTTCCTCCATTCCCACTGCCCCATTCTTTCCACCTTGTTCTCAACCATTCCCTATAGTACCCAAACTTAGTTTCTGGTTTATGCTTATTGCATTTTTTTTCCCCAGAAATGAGCAGATACGTGAATATTTTCTTTTATTCTGTTATTTCTTTTATTTTATGGGTATATAATTCACATTAAATTCACCCTTTTAAAATGTATAATTCAGTGGTTTTTAGTATATCCACGGTGTTGGGCAACTATCACCTCAATCTAATTTTAGAACGCTTTCATCATACCAAAAATAAACCCTGTACTCCACTCCCCTTTGCCCCTAGCCCCAGCAACCACTAATCTACTTTCTGACTCTATGGATTTGTCTGTTCAGGACATTTCATGTAAGTGGGATCATACAATATGTGGCCTTTTGTGTCTGGCTTCTTTCACTTAGCATACAATTTTCAAGGTCCATCCATGTTGTACCATTTTATATTCCCATGATTTGGGAATATTTCAATTTCATCACATCTGCGTCAACACTTATCTCCTGTTTTTTTCCTTTCATCATGGCTACCCTAGTGGGTGTAAAGTGTTCTCTCTTTGTGGTTTTGATTTGCATTTCCTTAATGCCTAATGGTGCTGAAATCTTTTCATGTGCTTACCGGTCATTTGTATTTCTTATGTGGAGAAATGTCTGTTCAGCTCTTTTGCTTTTTAAAATTAGATTATCTGTTTTTTTATTGTTGAGTTGTAAGAGTTCTTTATATATTCTGGATACAAGTCCCTTATCAGATAGATGCTTGTGAATATTTCCTCCCATTCTATAGTTTGTCTTTTCATTTTCTTGATGGTGTCCTATGATGCACAGATGTTTTAAATTTTGATGAAATCCAATTTACTTATCTTTTCTTTTGGTGCTTGTGTTTTGGGTGTTGTAACTAAGAAACCATTGCCTAACCCAAGGTGATGAAGATTTATGCCTGTTTTCCTCCAAGAGTTTTATTTTACCTCTTATATTTAGGCCTTGGATCTATTTTGAGTTAAATTTTGAATATGGTGTTAGGGAAGGACCCAAAAAGGCAGTCCTGGGTGGTCTAGTGTTAAAAATTGGTGCTCTCACCACTGTGGCCTGGGTTCATTTCCTGGTCAGGAAATCACACTACCCATCTGTCAGTTGTCATACTGTGGCAGCTGCATGTTTCTGTAATGCTGAAAGCCATGCCACTGGTATTTCAAATACCAGCAGGGTCACCCACAATGGACAGGTTTCAGCAGAGCTTCCAGTCTAGACAGACTAGGAAGAAGGACCTGCCACCCACTTCTGAAAAAATTGGCCATGAAAACTCTATGAATAGCAGCAGAGCATCGTCTCATATAGCACGTGAGAGCATGGAGCAAAAAGATAGGGCAGGGTTCCTCACTTGTACACAGTCTCTAGGAGTCAGAATCAACTCAACAGCACTAACAGCAAAGGGGTTTAACTTTCTTCTTGTCATGCGGTCAGGACCATTTGCTGGAAAAGATTATTCTTTCCCTATAGAATTATCTTGGCATTCTTGTCAAAAAAATCAATTGACCATAAATGTAAAGGTTTATTTCTGGACTCTCAATTCTATGCTATTTGCCTATCTATCTGTCCTTAAGCCAGTACCACGTTGTCTTGATTTGTAGCTTTGTAGTAACTTTTGAAGTTGGAAAGTGAGTGTTTTCTGACTTTGTTCTTCTTCTGTTTTGGTTATTCTGGGTTCCTTACAGATCCTTACGAATTTTAGGATCAGCTTATCTATTTCTGTGAAAAAGCCATATTTGATAGGCATTGTACTGACCATAGATCAATTTGGGGAGGACTGCTATCTTAACAATATTGTCTTCCAATCCATAAGCATGGGATGTTCTTTCATCCATACAGGTCTTTCAACAATGTCATGCAGTTTTCAGAAGTTTAACACTTCTTTTGTTACATTTATTCCTATTTTATTTCATTTTATTTATTTAGTGTTTTTAAAGATTGGCACCTGAGCTAACAACTGTTGCCTTTTTTTTTTCTGCTTTTTTCTCCTCAAATCCCCCCAGTATATAGTTGTATATTTTAGTTGTGGGTCCTTCTGGTTGTGGCATGTGGGATGCTGCCTCAGCGTGGCCTGATGAGCAGTGCCATGTCCGTGCCCAGGATCTGAACCGGCGAAACCCTGGGGCAGCGAAGCACAGCACACGAATTTAACCACTTGGCCATGGGGCCGGCTCCATTTTATTTTCTTGACGCTATTGTAAATGGAATTTTTTTTTAAATTTCAGATTATTCATTGTTTGTATATAGAAATCTGTAATAGTCAGGGTTCTCTAGAGAAACTGAACCAATAGGATACATATATTCCTAATCTTATTATATGCACCTTATATCTTATCATACATACCTAATAATACACATTCATAATATATATAACTCATATTAATATTATCTCCTGTTTTTTATGCATATATATATAAATAACACAACAGAACTAATAGGAGATATCTATCTATAAAGCGATTTATTACAAAGAATTGACTCACATGATTAGGGAGGCTAGCAAGTGCAAAATCTGCACAGCCATTGTCCCAGTTTGAGTCCAAAGGCCAGAAGCTGCTGTAGAACTATGAAGAGCCAGAAATATGTCCCAGTTTAAAGGCAGTCAGGCAGGAAGAACTGTATTTGTATACTGATCTTGTATCCTGCAACTTTACTGAACTCATTCATTAGTTCTAACAGCTTTTTACAGATTCCTTAGGCTTTCCCATATATAAGATGATGTCATCTGCGAACAGAGAGAGTTTTACTTCTTTCTTTCCAGTTTGGATGCCCGTTTTTTATTTTTCTTGCCTAATTGCTCTGTACCTCAACTTTTAAAGAGTTCTTTATTAAAAGAGATTAGCCCTTTGTGGTATATGTTGCAAGGATCTTCTCTCAGTTTGCCAGCTGTCTTTTAATTTTGTGTATTTTTTAATGATATGCAAAGTTTAAAAAACTTTTATGTAGTCAAATTTATTAATCTTTTTCTTTTATTGCCTTTGGATTTTGAGTCATACTGAGAAAGCCTTTCTTTCTCTATATCAAGGTTAAAGAGGAATTGTCCTCTTTTATTCTACTACTTGTATAGTCTCAGTTTTTATACTAGATCTTTAATCCACTTGGAGGTTTTTCTTACGTATGGTATGAGGTTTCGACATCATTTTACCTTAAAAAGATTTTTTTTTAACCTCTTTTCTTCCTTTGCTCAACATTTGTTTTTTTTAAGATTGGCAGCTGAGCTAACAACTATTGCCAATCTTTTCTTTTTTCCTTCTTTTTCTCCCCAAATCCCCCCAGTACATAGTTGTATATTTTAGTTGTGGGTCCTTCTAGTTGTGGCTTGTGGGACACTGCCCCAGCGTGGCCTGATGAGAGGTACCACGTCCGTGCCCAGGATCAGAACCAGCGGAACCCTAGGTCCCTCAAGCAGAAGGCGAGAACTTAACAACTCAGCCACTGCCGGCCCCCTAATTTTATCTTTTAAGAAATGGCTATCCATTTGTCCCAGCACCATTTATTAAAATGTCCCTGCTTGCCCCATCGATTTGAGATGCCACCTTTATCATCCACTAAACTTCCATGTGGCTTCAGGTCTATTTCGGCACTTTCTACTCTATTCCGTAATTTCATTGTGTATTAAGGCAGCAGTAGTACCACACTATTTTATTACACAGGCTTTATCATGTGTCAACGTCTGGAAGGGCTAGTTCCTCCCTGTGGTCTTTCACTTGCAGTGTTTTCCCAGCTATTCTTAAATGCTTATTTTTCCATACGAACCTTAGTAAAGTTGATTTATTAACATAAACTTTACTGAATTTTCACATAAACTTGCTAAATTTTCTCTAAACTTCCAATTATTTTGAAGTTTGATCTCTTTATCCATTGAATAATTAACGCTCTCACCTGTCCATTGGATCACTAAGTGTCAGCGTGTGAGGGGTACATCTGACGTACAAGAGCCTTTCTCCAGGCCTAGTTATTCCCTTGAGTTACCACCTTCTCTCCTCCTAATCCACGTCAAATGCCTCGCAAGAGAAAGAAAACATGGCGTCTCCATTTCCTCATCATCTGTTTCTGATGAGGAACAGAACTTTTACAGGAGCAAGTTCATTATTCTGTAGTGAAAATACTGTTGGATCTCGAGCCTGTAACGAACAGGGCAACTTATTTCTTGAGTCCTAAATTCTCCAGATGTGAACAGAACGGACATCCTGATCTAGTAAGAGAAAGCCACTCTGCATCAATGATCTGTCCTGACGATCACCTATAAACCGGCTTCTCCGACCTACTGGGAAAGAAAAAGAGAGCAAGGCGTTTTGCAAAAAAAAAAAAAGAAAAAAAAGAAAGAAAAAAAAGTCATTTGGCCTCTAACCAGTAGGACTGCATATCATATACATTTCTTTCTTCTGCTTTCCTTTCAGGCCCTTATAGCCCCAGTACTACGCCACACAAGGCACGTAAGGAATCAAGAGCACTGCTGGTTGCCTTTTACTACCGGCCCAGCGTGGTTAAGCGGGCTGAGTCGTCCATGGTTGCAGAGCTAGCTAGTAGCTGGGCACACGGTGCACAAGCTGCCATTCGCTACTCGCTGGGGGAGGGGCAGGAGTAGACTGCGAAAGTGGCACAAAGGTCGGGTCCCAAGGTCTGTAGGCGACCTGCGCCCGCGATCCGGAAGCGGGGGCGCACCTCACCGAGCCCAGACCCTCCCCGAGGCCGGCGGATCCCGCAGCGTGCGGACAGGGGCGGGGACTAAACCCGAGGGCGTGAGGGCGGGATCGGACTCGGGAGATGGCGGCGGCAGCTGTGAGTGGTGCTAAGCGGCGCCTGCGGGCCGAGCTGAAGCAGCGTCTGCGGGCGATGAGCGCCGAGGAACGGCTACGCCAGTCTCGCCTCTTGACTCAGAAGGTGAGACCACGAGGACCGCCACCACAGCGGACCGACTAACTGAAGCGCCAGACCGCACCGAGCTTGCGTATCTGCGCAGGCGCAGGCCTCCAGCGCGCGCACGTCTCGTGGGCGCGCGCACGTTCGTTCGTGGGTGGAGCGGTGCTGTGGGGCAGGGTGTTTGGGGAAGAGCGCGGGTATGAGAATAGTGCAGCTAACGAGGGAGAGCATGGGAGTAGGTGACAGACTTCTCGGTGGGAGGGGAGTTTGGTTGAAAGGATGGCACCGTGGTGTTGAGAACTCCTTAATGGGGAGAATGAAGGTGCTGAGGTAAGAGCAGCGTGAGAACAGGAAGATCTGGTGGGGGAGAGGGGTGGACGCCTGAGCGCTAAGGTGCATTCAGTGAGTCTTAAAGATAATGAACTACGAGTCTGAGTTCAGTCATATCAGTAAAATGACCAGAGAAAGATGCAGTTACTTCAGACGAGGGAACACGAAAAAGGGGGTAGAGATGCCCAAAGACAGAAGACAAATGTTGACTGCGCTTCACCAAGCATGTGGAGGCCTGGGCCTCTGTCTCTGAAGCCTCAGGGCCCAGCGTTTTCCTGTCATGCAGTAGGGTGAACATTAAATCCTTTTTAAATTAGTGAAAGAATCAACTGATTATCGTACTCAGGCTGCCCAAGACGGTAGGAAGCAGAAGAGAGGAGTTAGGGGAATGAGTGAGGTTCCCTGTCTGCTGGTTATAAAAACCTTGGTTTTGTCGCTTTCGCTGACTGACTTGCTACATATTTTCAGTCTGTGTATGTAACGCCAGTTTTCTTGTTAGTAAAATGGCAATCATATCCTGTCGTGAAGGCTTGTTCTAAAGATGTCTGGGATCTTTGTTGGTTACCAGAGGAAGAAATATTGATGTCTTATGAATAAGTAAATATTGGTAATTCTAAGTCAAATTAATGATTTGTCTTCTCCAACAGTCTGTCTCTGGTGGGGATACTAGTATTTTGTTTGGAAATTAGCGTGAGAACTCTTTTCCTTGATGTCCTTTGAAATTAGATACGCCATAAGAATTTAATTACCCTTCACTATTCTGTCTTGCATTAGTGTCTCAAATTAAAGGTTCCTATGGGTTAAAGCAGTAAAGCAAATACACACATTTCACCCCGCTCTTCGTATATGTAAGTGTGCATGAGGGGATCTATGCAGATGTTAGTTTATTCATTCAAACGGAATTATTTTAGCTGTTATGAGGAAGGCATTACTGGGTGCTTTAGTGGATGCAGTGCAGTAAAGGATCTTATCCTTACTCTCTGTGCTTAAAACTTAGCTAATTAATTCACATATATTCAACACCTACCGTGGTCCATACTTTGCTGTGTATTGGGTTGTAGGGATGAAAAAGGTATAATCGTTGCTCTAAAGGAGCAGAGAGTCTAGAAGAGGAAACAGATATATGAATAAAGAATTTCAATACTGTCATATATGATAAAGTTAAGCACCAAAGCTGTAGAAGCATAGCTTAGGGGAGGGGGAGTCGGAAGTCTTTCTATAGGAAGATGTTTGAGATGAATTTTGTAGTACAAGATGAATTTTGTCAGGGGAAGGGAAGATGGAACAGGCAAACATGTGGAGGAATACTTTGGCAAGAGAAGGAAGGACATGATAGAATATGGGCTTTGGAACTGCGCAGATCTGATTTTAATCTGACTCCACTGCATTTTAGCTGTATATGGCCTTGGGCAACTCTTCTAATCTTTTTGAGCCTCTGGTTCCTTATCCATAAAAGGAATAATATCCTTGTAGCTGTGGTGTGAGGGTTAAAGAGATGTGTAAAGGGATGTATTCAGTGCTTTAAATATTTTTGATGTATCCTTTAGGAAGAGTATATTGGCAGCATTTTGGAAAATGGGTTGAGGAAGGAAGAAAGAAAAAATATATGGAGACCAGTAAGGGACTGTTGTGATAACTCACGTGAGAGGTAAGAAAGATGCAGATGAGGGCATGGGTAGTGAAGGAGGAAGAAAAGCAGGTAAATGGGAGTCTGTGCAATGAGAATCAGGGAGACTTATCAAATAGTTGAATAGAGGTTAGAGAGTACTGGAAAAGGAGGAGAGTCAGCTGTGATTGCAAAACTTAGAGCTGGGATTAAAGGTATTTACTGTTACTAGGCACCAGGAATGTAGGAGTTGGAACAGATTTTGAAGCGGCCTGGGGAAAATACAGATAAGTTCATTTTGGCTTCTTTGTCTGTAGATGATTAGAATTTATAAACTACAGGTAGGAACAGTAGCTATGTAGAGGTAGGACCACTGACAGCAACAGAGTGACAACTGAGAGCTGGCATCAAAGGAGGAGAGAGAAAAATTAAAAAGCAGAACCATGACTCTCGGTAGTAAATAAATTTTACCCCATACAAACAAATATACACATATAAGAAATATGTTTCACAGCCTAGTGTTTCACAACTCTTACTACATACAATAAACTTTAACATTTTCTATTTCATTAAAAAATGCTGATTGTAACCCACTGTTGCTTTCATGACCAACCAATGGATCATGGCCCTAAACGTCGATGTACTGTGACTAGAATAGTGTTTTGTAATGGAGCATGTTCAGTAAAGATATTAAATGATCCGTTTCTTCCAATAATTAAAAAAGGCATATTAATTCTTAATGACACAGTGCCTTTATTAGAATTTAGAAATTTATCAGAAGAGTAATGTATGGTAAAGAAATTCAACTTTATGCCATATCTTGACTCATTAACTGAATAAGATGAGGAAATTAATGTTCCTGACCTCGCTTTGTCTTCCATTCTGTCTGCCAGTTTCTGACACCAGTATCATTATACTTACATTGTCAAATTTTATAATATTTGTACTCTGTTCTATAACCATAATGAATCCACTGAGCATTTTGTGTGGCTGATTTCCAAACTTGAAATTGAAGTAAATAGTATTTACAATATTTTAGTCATATAGATAGTATTCACTGTAGAACTAAGTTGTGTGATAGGATATGTAAGAAAAGGATATCTAGTTCTAAGTTACTAGATGTGTGTGGCTAGCAGGGGAATGTTTCAAGTGTCAATACCAAATATTTTCTTTTTTCTTATGCTCTTCAATTACTCAAAATCAAGCCATATTTCAGTTTGTTCCTATTTGGAGTATAAATTTCTAATTTAGCTCTTTGTTTTTCGAGGAGTTTCTTGTTGCCTTTATGTTTCCTTTTTGGCAGAGCAAGAATATGCCTTTATCTTATCAATAGATTTTTTTTCATTTTGTCTGTTAAAGTAGTCCACTTTTTTTTTTGAAAGCACACCAGCCCCTGCTTTCTCTGGTCTGATTTCCTTCTAGCCCATTGCATAGCTATTGCCCTGGGGTTCCTCTTACTCTACTTCTAAGTTAGGACTGTTTCTTGAACCCAGTGTCTTCTTTCTTGGATTTCTTTCTTTCTTTTTTTGCTTCATCTTATTAGAGTATATCTTCAAGTAATTTTTTTTTTTGAGAAAATATCTATGGTGGTAAACTTTTTAATACTTTATACCTTAGAAAATGTCTTTACCCTCATATTTGATTGATAGTTTAAATTTCAGGTTTAAATTTTTTTTTTTTGGTGAGGAAGATTGCCTCTGAGCTAACATCTGTGCCAATCTTCATCTATTTTGTACGTGGGACACCACCACAGCATGACCCAACAAGTGGTGTATAGGTCCATGCCTGGGATCTGAACCTGTGAACACCAGGCTGCCAAAATGGAGCATACGAACTTAAGCACTATGCCACTGGGCTGGCCTCTTAAAATTGTTTTTCCTTATTCTACTCGCCCCCATGATCTCTGTTCAATCTGTTATATCTTTGATTACTTCTTTTCCTTTGTGCCTTTCTGCAATTCCTGTTAATCAAATAGTGAAAATCCTAGATTGATTTTCTATGTCTCTTACTGTTTTTTCTCCTTTTCCTCATTTCTTTGTTTTTTTCCCCTACTTTAAGGCTTTTTCCTAAATTGTTTTAATTTTGGTAATCTTAATTTCCAAGTATTATTTCTCAATTCTGTGATTGCTTTCTTTCCATAGCAGCTTGTTGTTGTTTTATAGATGCAATTATCTTCTTGAATTTGTCTGAGAAAACTAATACGAATTTAAAAAAATTCCCTGTTGTGTGAATTATCTCAGTTTCTTGCTGGATCATCCCCCACCCCCTTTTTTTAATCCTTCTATTTTGTGTTTTGGCTTTCTAAAATGTTTGATGAACATTTGTCTGTACATATTTATGAATGAAGGTATAATAGCAAATGGGGGTTTCCTTTGCCTCTTGCAGTCACTTTGGGGTTTCATGAGAGAAATGGATTCTGCTTGACCTACATCCATGTTCTGTGAGTGTTGTGATCTGCTGTTTTGTCTGTATATATGTCCCATGCACTCTCTGTCTTATAGAAGTAGTCAAGTCTCTATTCTCTTGTTCTCAGTACTATAATGGTTCTCTCTTTTTGTGCTTTTTTACGGTCATATGAGATTTGAGGAAGGAAGAAGGATAAATGTGTATGCATAGTCTCACTCTGAATTTTAACTCATGTTTATTACTGCTTATTCAGCTCTTGATTTTCTGTATTCTGCTTTAAAGAGAACAAGATAGACACTTAACTTTCTCAGAAAGTGCTTGGGTGCCAAAAAGCCTCAGAGCTGGCCAAGGTCTGGGTTTTGCATTTCCTTTTGCTTTGCCTATTTCAGGCCTCATAACAGCTTAGTAACTTCTCAGAAAGATGGAGTTAACTTCCTTTCCTTAGCACGGTGCTCTATCTACTTAATTTCTGTGTCCCTTTTTATTAGGAACAACTTGACTTTCTGTACCTGTATCTTTCTGCCAGTCATATTTATAAGCCACTTTTGCAGTATCTTCTTTTTTTTTTTCTAAACCAGCACTTGTTTAGCATGATTTCATCATTTGTTTCCTTCATTTTTGTATTATGCTAGTCAGGTACATTTTTCTTTTTTTTTTTAATTTTTATTTTTTTCGGATGTACATCATATTTCGAATTCTGTATACGTTACATCATGTTTATGCAGTATCTTCTTAGCTTAGAGAACGTGGAAGAACAGAAAGGGAGGGGGAAAAAAAGCGAGCTAAGTGCTAACTTCTGAGTCTGAGAAGTTCCGAGATTGTTCACTTTTCTATGGTAAGCAAAGCTCAGCCTCCTTGTCCTGCCTGATGAATGATTAAACTGAATATGAAGGGATTCTTTCACCCAGGTCCACCTTCTCACAACTTGGCATTTGCTTTTAGAGGGTCTTGGCCTCTCCGTAATCCCCCTGTCTCCCATCTTTGTGAACATTTTAACATTCATTTGAACAGAAGAGTTTTAAGAAATGGGATGGAGGTGGGTAGAGCTAAGAGAATTATATGACATGTTCTCTGCCTCCCGGGAGCTTACAGACTGGTAAGAGTACTACGTATAGGGCACATGAAGCAATTAGTAATCAAATCCTGACAATACCTAATTAAGTGTTAAGTTATATGTTAACTCTAAATGTTGTAAGGGTTCTGCAGAAGTTAGGAGAATTTAGGGCTTGAGTTGGGCTTAAATGGGTAGAATTTAGGACGAGAGAAGCCTGACAATCCAAGGAGTGAAGAAGCTTGTGGGAGCCAAGGTTCAGAGTTAAAATAAAGCAAAGACTCTAGGGGAAGTGTGTAAGACTACTAATGACTGCTAGGATGGGTAGATGGAGGTCAAACCTGGAATTCTTGAAACACACAGCAGGGCCCCACAGTGACTTTTTAATGAGTTTTCACACTTTAACTAGACTAGGCATGCCAGAGGGATGTAAAGGGATCGGAGAAGTCAGTGTTGGGCCCAGAACTAAAAGTCAGCCTTCAGGATGCAGCACTGTCTGACCCACTATACCGCTGTGCTTTTTTTTGTTTTTGGGTAGTTGAAAAGTTGTAGAAGGCCCGGAGAGAAGGGAGAAAGTGTTAAAACTGTTAAGGGGAGTCACTCTTTTTGAAAGTGTAATCTTGGAAAATATAATTGCCATCATTTCCCATTAGGTGATTGCCCACAGTCAGTATCAAAAATCCAAAAGGATTTCCATCTTTCTGAGCATGCAAGATGAAATTGAGACAGAAGAGATCATCAGGGACATTTTCCAACAAGGCAAAACCTGCTTTATCCCACGGTACCAGTTCAATAGCAATCACATGGATATGGTGAAATTAGCATCACCTGAGGAAATTTTGTCACTTCCCAAAACATCCTGGAATATTCATCAGCCTGGTGAGGAGGAGGTTCGGGAGGAGGCCTTGTCAACAGGTGAGTGTTACGGTATTACAATTGACATTTTAGGATGCTGTCAGATTGTGAGAGGTTGTTAGACCCCTGATCCACTTGTTATGTTTGGGTCGTTGGGGGTTGCTTTTCCTTTAAGGATGAATTTGTCTTTCACGTATACTGGGGTACCCACATTACCTGGCTTAGGATGAGATGCCCTCTGTAAGCTGCGAAGAGTCAGCTGTAATTGTGAGGTATTAAGGTATTGTGGCCTTTTCACAGACTCTTGCCCTGACCTTGTGAGTTGAATTAAACATTTTCACTGAATAATATTATCATTTCCCATGCTTTCAATTATGATCTGTATGTTAATGAGCACATTGTTATTAATGCTAATAAACATTTGTATCTTCATTGCGGACCTGTCAGTTACCATCTGGACGTGTCTACTTGGATGTCACATGGGCATCTCAAACACAACATGTTCCAAACTGAATCATATTCTCCTCAACTGTTACTACCATGTGTCTCTCCCAGTGCGTAGTACCATCAGCCGCCCAATTGACCATGCCAGAAATCTCAGGATCAGCCTTGGCTCCTCTCTTTCTCTCATGTCCCACGTGTGGTCTGTTGCCAAGTCCTGATGATTTTACTTACTAAATGTTTATTGAATCTGTCCATCTCTCTCCAACCCCACTGCTAGTACTGTAGTCTAAGACACCATCTTCTCTTGCCTGGGTTATTGTAACAGCCTCTTAACTGTACTTCCTCTTCATTTCTTGTATCCTCTCCTCCCACTCAATCTGTTATTTACATAGTAATTGAAACAAGATTTCAACAACACAAATCTGGCCACTTCTCTCCCCTGTTTAAAGTCTTTCAGTGACTTCTTGCTGCCCTTAGGTTGAAGTAAACACTCCTTAACGAGGCTCTTCCTGATTTGGCCCTGCCTATCAATCCTTTTGTACATCTTTCTACTCCTCCAATTCGTAGTCTGAATTCCAGCCACTCTAAATATCTCTGTTTCCCAACCCCACTTTGCTTTCTCTATTGCTGAACATTTGAATGTGCTATTCCCTAGCCAACAGCCACTTGGGAGATTTGATCATTATCAAGCAGTTAAAGAGCTGAAAGCAAAACAAGCTAAGGGTACTATTTTGAAATCTAGTGCCTCAAACCTGTCTTAGAGGTATATATTTTTGATTAAGACTTAAATGGTTCAACAAACCCCAGCCAGCTTTATGCAGTCTTCTCCCAATTTCTGTCCCCTTCCAAAATAGCAATATAAACTACAAAATCAATATAAGAGGGTGGGAGGGGACAGAGTCAAGGGCTCACAGTAGTATGGGGATTATCTACTTTGCTACTGCAGCTTGCGCTGTATTATCCAATCCTGCACTTTGCTAGATGTTAGGCACCAAAGGTATGATCAGTGTCCTCTGTGTCCCACATCAGTAGACCAGATGAATGCCAACGTTACAAAACTCTTTCATATCTTCCAGAAGAAAGATGGCAAGCATTTTAAGACAATGAGATATAAGAGAGTATAGCAAACCCTGGAGCGTAGCTCAGATTTATAGATAAGGAAAGATAGGAATTGTAGGCTCTGATGTTGCTCATACTTAATGCAGCTATTTCTCCAGACTCACAAAACTAAAGGTGGAGTCCAGGATACTTTCCCAGTTTTGTTTTACTATAGTAACAGCTCCTCCAATGCTTGCATCGTCTCTGTAACATCTCTGCTAATTGAAATTCTGCTTGGTGTCTTCCAGTAACCAGTGCCGCCAGAGGCAGCCATTGCCTTTGTAGAACAGCTCTGCCCCTTCTAGAGTATATTCCTTAGGTTAGCTAAAATGTGTCACCCTAAACCTTCATGCATTTGTGCTATTTCTGTTTAAGTACAGCAGTGGGAAGAGTAAGGAAGAAGCATGATGTTTCCTTATGATTTAGTTGCACTTCCTGGTGAGGATAAACTCAGTCCAAGTAAATGAGCTAAATCATTTATGTATGGTTTTTAGCACATCATTTGGCATAGGAGCTATTCAGTCAGTGGTAACTATTATTGATTTGAAGCAAGGAAGGTAGAATTATTCATTATATGGTCAATACATTGCTAGCTGAGAGTTTAACATTTTGATTATTTCCAACAAACATTTTCTGAGCATCTACTTTGTGTCAGACACTGTGTTAGCTCTGGAAAGATAAGGTCCTGGACTTTAAGGGGCTAACACTCTAGCAGGGGAGACAGAAAACAGATGTAAATAGAATAAGTATCCCAACCTGCAGTATACGTCAAACATAAGTGTCAAGTGAAAAGATGCAGAATATTAAGAATATAGAGGTTCAGGGCTTGGACCTGAATGGATAAAAGTCCACTGAAAAAGCTGGTTGTTCATTTTTTTTTTTTCCCTCCGTAGCATTTATCCGTATATATTTGTGGGACAGGACGCTTTTTTTCCCCGACATGTTTTTCTTTGCAGATACTTGCTGTCTGGGTTGCAAAAGGATAGGCGATATACCTGTAGTTTTTTGCAACTGCAATGTGGGAGCTGACGCTCTTCTTCACTGTTGTTTATAGAAATGTTTGAGTAGGCAGTCTCTGCTGTTTGTTATTTCCCAGCATCACATTCTGCATTGTGGATTTCTACGTGCATCAGCAGCTTAGAATGTGGCAACTTCAGTGCTAAAGTATAAATCTAGCTTCATAATGTTTGGGACAAGCTGATTAGTGCTGAGATTGTCCCCAGTATAGCTTTTCTTTTTTTTTTTTTTTTTTTTGAGGAAGATTAGCCCTGAGCTGACTACTGCCAGTCCTCCTCTTTTTTGCTGAGGAAGCCTGGCCCTGAACTAACATCGTGCCCATCTTCCTCTACTTTATACGTGGGATGCCTACCACAGCATGGCGTGCCAAGCGGTGCCATGTCTGCAGCCAGGATCCGAACCGGCGAACCCCGGGCCACCGAGAAGCAGAACGTGCGAACTTAACTGCTGCGCCGCCGGGCCGGCCCCGTCCCCAGTGTAGCTTATGTAGTCTAATTTTTTTTATTTGCTCAAGTTATCTTGGCTTGAGAAGAGTGAGCTTTGCTGTCCTCAGTTGCAATCATAAGTTCCTGAGCAAAAAATTTCATATGGGGTATTTTTGAATTATGTATACAGCAAAATAACAGACAGGTAAATGAAGTAGAGGGGCTGCCTCTTTACTGAATTTATCCTTAAAGTGAGGGCTGCTTGGGCAATTAGATTAGCCAGGAATCTTTCCATTGAAAGTACATAATCTTATTCAACCTTGCTTAAGCAAAAATGGGATTTTTATTGGCCCAGAGACTGAAAAATCCACAGAGGGCTAGCTTTAGATGTGGTTGGATCAGTCATTGGGATCCACTCTATCTCTTCCTTTGACTCTGCTTTCATGTGTGTTGGCTTCATTTTTTGGTGCCACATGGTGGTCCATGGCAGCTCTTGGTTCCACAGCATCCTTACTGCTAGCAATCCTAGCAGAAAAGAGCAGGTCTGTTTTCTAACAATCCCAGTAAAATCCTGCTCTTAACTCTCGTTGACCCAAATTGGGTCAAGTGGCTATCCAAAAATCAATGTATGGCCGGGGATGTGGACTTCGTTGAGTGATGTAAGCCTTGATCTTACCTGCCCATCCCTGAGCCATTTGCTTTTACCAGGAGAAGGGATGTGCTGACTGACTAGGCTGGGTCCTATGCCCACCTCTCAGCCTTACTCAAACCTCTGAGCTAAGAGCAGGGTGGGAGTGATTCACCACAGGAAGAAGAGATACTATTTTCAGAAAAGGGAAATGGATACTGAACAGTCAAAAATCACACTCACCTATGCTGTCAATTATTTGTGGAATTCTATGGAATATATCAAGCTCTTTGCAGTCATAACTTTGTTAGTGCTGAATTTTTATTTCTGATCTTTCTGAAGGCTCTTTAGGAATTCATACCTATGTATGGGTACCTGACACATAACTTAAATAAATGATCATAATGAAGACTTTCTAGTCCTCAACCAAAACATTTTTAAGTAATCGAATGGGGCAGGGTCAAGGACAGAGTCTTTGAACATGACATGTGCAACTTCCTTCCAGATTGTTCATGATCAATACTTTTGGGAGGGTTAGGATTAGTTCATTGAAAGTAATTACCATTAAATTGACCTCATTTCTTTCTTTAATAGAGTTGCATGGCATCTGCAAGAAAACAGTAAAGAGAGAGGGTATGAATTTCATCAAGGCATTTAACAGAATCATGATATCCTTGAGAATAGGCTGAAGAAATTTGGGTTGAATCATAATACCGTATTCAGAAAATGTTCATTGAGCACCTCGTCTGTGTGCGGAGTGATGGGGATGTAGTAGAGAACAGGGTGGGCCTGGTCCCCACCGTTGAGGCGTTAGTTAGCCTGTTGTCCTCACGCAGGCACGTTTGTGCTTAGCATGTCACAGGGCTCTCTCCTTTTGCTGTCCTGTTCAGCTTTTTGTTGCGACTTAGCTGTCTCACTGTCCCTAAATTTCAGCATGTCTAAATTCATTCTTATCATTCTCTTTGTGTTTTTTCACATTTCTGTTAGTAGCCAGTTTGCCAACAGAGAATTATCCTTGTCTGTTCCACTCATCCAGTCATCAAATATCACCAGATTTTTGTTTGTAATGTTTTTATCCCCTGTCTCTCTAATTCCAGTTTGGGGGAATCCTTTGTCTATAATTTTGATTCTTCGTATCTGTTCCATTGGAATAAACTTCAAGTCGGTTTCCTGGCCATATTAATTTTCCTAAAATTCCTTTTTGTACAAAGCTCATCTATCCTGTTCAAGCCTTGCCCTCTGTACTGGATCGATCTGTATGCCTGAGCAGGCCATGGTTCCTGCCAGCTAATTGTTGCCAAGAAAAGGGACATTGGATAAAATTTCAACATTCAGGTCACTGTCTGGACCTTATCTATCTTTCTACCTTGACTCCTGCTTCTCCTGCTGCCATTCCTCTGCTTTAGCCAAAATGGTCTGCTGGAAGTCAGTATTTCACAGTAATCGAA